CCCACTCTCAAGGGTCATGCAGAACAGAGGAGAGCTGCCTCTGTGGGCTTCCGAAGCTGTCCATCTTTTCTGGGAGCAGGAAGTCTATCCTTCTGATCGCTTGGAGGGGCCGGTCGTTCAAACTGCTGACTTTGATAGCAGCTCCACCCTTAACCCCGCCCACTTACTCTCTCGCTGCCCGCGAGTCCGTTTTGGTGCCTGGAGACCCCATAGGACAGGGTAGAACTGTGCCTGCGGGCCTCCCAGACTGTGCCTGTTTACAGTAGAAAGCCCTGCCTTGCTCCCGAGGAGCGGCTGTGAGACCTTGCTGATCGAAGCCCAACTGGTCACCACACCCGAAGCTCCTACGTTAACCCACGACGCCACCTAAGCCCCTGGCGTGATGGAGAGATGACCCGGGTCCTCTCAAGAGGACGGTCGCTTTTGCAAGATGACGATCTCGGCAGATTTGCTCACATACGAAGTTCCCGTTATTAACATGCATCTCATTAAGTACACTCAAATTAATTGCTGTGGTATCCCCAGTCAGATTGAAATGTGTAATTACAGACTGCACATTGAACGCTTGCCTTCAGCTGCTCTCTAAGGGGCTTTCCGGTCTCTGCTTCTACATCATCTGTGGTTCACGGCGCATTTGTTTCAGACATGGTGGTGTGGGTGAAAGCTGGGTAAAAATGATGTGAACGGTGACTTTAGGAAAGTCATGACTTTATCCAGAAGTACTTACTAACTATCTGTAAGGTACCAGGCCCGGCTAGGCTCTGGGCTCGCAGAGTACAGCAGACACACAAGAAGACCCCCAGTTATCGTGGGCAGCTCAGACTGGTGAGCATCGGGGCAGAGGAGAAGGAAGAGTAAGTCAGTGCCCTGTAGTCGATTCTGACCCAGAGCGACCCTGCAAGACAGGGTAGAAGTACCCCAGGGGGTTCCTGAGACTGTCCCTCTTCACGGAGTAGAGGCCTCCTCTTTCTTACGCAGATCAGCTGGTGGTTTGAACCGCTGATTCTGTGGTCAACGTGTAAGCCGCTACACCATCAGGGCTCTTGAGTGAGGTCAGAAGAGAACATGATTTGAAAAGGGAACGAGAGGGGAAGAGAAGGAACTAGGGCCTCATTACATCGAATGGTCAAAGCAGGTCTCTTGGGAGACCCTGAGATCCAAAAGGAAGCCAGTCTACTCATGGTGAGTGTCTGTTTTTACAAACATCTTTCAGGACACGGATCTAGGCGAGTCTCTCCGAGACCCTATTGAGTCCTCTTTATAGCCTTCAGAATCCCTGGAGCTCAGTGGAGAAAAGCATACTTAACCCAAAGCCGCATTAGCCAGCTCCAGCACATCTCGATTTGGCCCTGGACATCGTTGGGGTGTTTCTGAACGTCGTTCCACTGAGTCTAACAACCGCTCCAACGTTTTGGTGGGGGATGTGCAGGAAACCCTGAAGCCCAGGAAGAAGTGTGAGCCCTGTCACGCCTCCTGCTGGATACCATCTCTAATGGATACACATCTCTGGCATTTGAGCTCCTGTCACAAAGGCCCTCCTCCTTCCACAACAGTGGTGAAAAGAAAATACGCAAACGAGAGGAGGAATCTGGAAGAGAAAGGTGATGTTGAGATGAAGGGAAGGAGCGGACACGGAGTGGAACAAAATCTGAAACATGGCTCCCAAGGTCCTGACCTTATAGTTTGACTTTGCAGACCCTCAGTCTCATTAGACCTGTAGGGTATCCTCCCTGTCCATCAAGCAACCCACCTGCCACATCATCTAGTCTCCCCATCTTTCCCTGGAGACTAGGGAGCGGGCCAGTGGTGAAAATGTGATGTCATTCAATTGGCTTACACTGTAATGCATACCTGCGAGACCCACCGCAGGCTGTGTTTACCATCCTGTGAGAAGGACTGTTCTTTAAATTCCCCGATGTCAAACCTGCTTCTGAAATGTATTTGCTACAGCACGATGGGTCTTGCTTGATGGATCCCCAAAGTAGGCAGAATTAGCTCTTTGTACCCTATTGATTCTACCCAGTGGTGGATAGAGGAGAAGCTTGCTTGTGCTTACTAATCTGCAGTAAATTTCACCTTTTCCCCATGTCAAGGGCTCTGCTTCTAGGCGTGGCGGCCAGCTGCCTCCCTCCCAGCCCCATGGCGCCTTCCTACTGAACCAAAGCCTCTCTTCAAATTTACAGTCCTTGACAGGGCCAGTCTACTTGGTAACACATGCAATCACATTAACACGTAGACAGCCTTCTTCATCCCAAGATGTTTTTTAAAAAAAAAGTATAGCCTGTGGTTATATTGGGTACCCACCCAATATACCTACTGTTATCAATTTCCAGATCCGCTGCCCGTGCATTTTAAAGTCATAAATCAGTGACATGAAGCTAAGTCTCACTGGAGCACATCTGTTGTTGGTTGCCCACAAGACACTCCACGTCCATAGTGAACGAACCTGACTGCAGGAGGAGGAGGGTCCCAAAGAGGCGGCCTCTGAGGCGTTACCAGCTAAGTGACAAACCTCAGAACCTCGGTCCCCATCTTGAAGGAAATGAAGTCCTTTGACTGAGCCTCACGGGCCTTCTTCCCAAGGGACCAAGAATGGTGTCGGACAGTCCCAAAAGAAAACCTATCTTTATATGAAAAAAATGAAGGTATCTCCTTCTATTATTAAGAAAACATCAGTCTAAAGGTAGGCTCCAAATGAGAATACGAGACCCCCAGGATTCTCAAAAGCCATGAGTCATTTCGGAGGCCAGTCACTAAAGACTGACCTGAAAGTTTGTTGAACCACAAAAAGCAAAAACCAAACCTATGACCATGTTGGTGCCGACTATAGCAACCCTACATAGGGGTCCTAAGGCTGTACATCTTTATGGGAACAAACAGCCTCAATTGCCTCCTAAAGAGTAGCCAATGGATTTGAACCACAGACCTAACAGTCTAACGTTTGCCCAGTGCCACCAGGCTCCTTTGAAGTAGATAAGGGACACAATTCCTATATAAAGAGGCACAGTAAGACACCTGGTGTGCTGTGATGTTTAACTCCACACACCTTCCCGGGCAGACAGCTGGTCTGAGCCCAAGATGGTAAAAAGTATAACCTGAGGCTGTGCATGCGGTATGAACTAAAGCATTCATTATCTGAGCCAAGTGTTCATTTCCTTCCTTCCGGTTCACAAGTATATCTTTAATAACTTTTCTGCTTGAGATGGGAGGATCCAAATGCTGGAGTTTAGAAAGCAATAATTGCTAAGCCCACGAACAGACTTACCCCCTCATGCAAATATTTGATCTTTTTTTCAGGTTTTTTTGTTGTTTTTTCCTGAAGATATCATTGCACTGATTCAACATTAGAATGGGTGAATCTCGTGATCCGGACAACGTGGTGATCATGAGCATAAGAGAAGCAGATGACCCTGCTTACTAGGAGAAACACTGTGCTACGCCAGAGTATACATTTTACTGCTTCTGGGAATGTTTATGTAACTGCTTGCTTTGCAGAAGTGGACAGCAGAGGTCAATTTTAGGATCAAATAGTTATTGCAAGAAGAGCTAGGGGGCAATGCTCACTGGCAGTGAGGGATGCGGGCGGCAGGGAGAGGCAGATGCACCCCGGGAGATAGACACCAGTGAGCTTTGGTGATTAGCACGACAGCCTTGTACGAGGGTGGAGGGCACACAGCCTGATCCAGACAAATGATGCCACTAAGTACACAGAAGGATCCTTTTGGTAAAGGCTATGAAAAATACTGTTTTGTAGCAACAATGAAAAACTGCATAAATTAACATGTATACCAGGCATGTATGTGTTGGTGTAAATGTGTGAGCACACACGTGTACAGGAAGAGCTGTAAGTATATGTACATACAGGTATGTCTTGCGTCTGAAAGACCATACAGGGGACACAGGTATAGATACTTGGAACACGTAACACCTTGTGAGGGGTTTTCTTGGGACAACTGTTCATTGACATGATAGTCTTACCGTTCAGGTTCTACCTCCTCTCAGTGCAGTGCATGGTGTCTCACTGCCGTCAAGCCGATTCTGACTGACAGCAATCCTTTATAGGACAGTCCAATTGTCCCGGTGGGGTCCCAAGATTGTAACTTTGTAGGAGTCGGAAGCCTCACCTTTGGGCTGCGGCAGTTTTGAGCTGCTGACCTTGTGGATAGCAGCCAAGGCATAACCCACTATGCCAGCAGGGCTCCTTTGAGTAGCGTCTGGGATCTTAAAAACCAAGTGTTCACCTAAGACACAACAGTTAGCTTCTATACATGCGGAACAAAGGAAGAAACATCTGCCTCCGAAAACCCACGTCTTCTCCAGGAGTGAACACAGTGCCCATGAATCACCTCATCTGCCCAGGGACCACAACTCCAGAGTACCCAGTGCCATGGCCCACAGGGCGGCGGGTGATGGATCCTGACCGAACAGAACATTTCGAGTGGAATACAACTGCAACGAAGGGCAGACTGCCTGGTCTGGCTGAGACCGAGGGACTGCCCTCGATGCCACTCTAGAGCCAGGCTAGCTCCTACAATACAGCCGGCCACCAGTGGACAATGAACCAACTCCTTCAAAGTAGCATCTAGGAGATGAGACCAAATGTTCAAATCTGACTGTGAACCCAAGATGAGAAGGAAAGAGGGCGGGCGGAGGTCACACCTGGTCACGACGACCCCCGGCTCATGGGTGTAGTCGGGACTCTTTCAAGGGGACCTAACCTGCCAGGTCAACCTGGACCTGAAGTCCACCATACCTTTCAGGTTCTGAGAATCAAATTGTTACGAAACTGTGGTAGCCATCACGACACTGACCCTTACGATTCCCCTCTTCATGCAATGAGGTTTTAACTTACATGGCATATAACCTTTTAAAACCATAGAAATTCATTCAGCACCTCTGAAGTTTATAGTGCCTCTACAAATACTCCTGAATCCTAAAAACCCAGCTCAGTAATGCCAAAGCCAACATGAAGTACTATACAACTGACAATACAATGTATCACGGACCGTTTCATTGCAAATATATTTATTACCATTTACAGATTGGTTAATAATTTTATACACAAATATAATTTTAGCTATAAAACCCCCAAAAACTGGTTACATTTGAATGATTAGACCTGGAGAAGCTAACTTAGACATATTCTCATCCCCTAACTTCACTGTCCTTAAATTATAAAAAAATAAAATCTGACGTTTTGATTTCAAGTTAAAGGTAAAAGCGGTGCTGTCATCACATTTCAACACTCAGAAATTGGACCTTTCTGTACAAAGTTTTTCACACGCTACATTGACACTTGAAGCACCATTACAGACCTTTAAATGTGTACAATATTTCAATAAAACCTCCAGGGATCTTACTTCTAAGATTATGGGGCTGGGGTAGGGGTGATGATTAACTGTTCTAACTAGGATTAGGATGCAACGATTCTTACTCTCTTCCTTCAGTCTAACTGCCCTCGTCACTGTCTGTCCAAGTTCAGAGGAGGGGAGTCTATGGGAGAATGCACAGCCAATGTTTTACTCATTTGGTAGTGAGCTTGGAATGCAAAGGGAATGATTTTTCAAGCCCCAGGGAATGGAAAGATGCCTTCCTCTTTTCCAATACATAGAGGTGCCAGATGTCAGAAACACAAAAACAAAACCCAAGTCTTAGAAATAAATAAAAGGTATGCTAGTCAAAAAAGCAACAAAAATAAACAAAACCACCCTTAATGTTTAAGGAAAATATCCCCCCACTCCTCAGGAAAAATGATGTCTGCTTTCCAGTGGGCATGGCTGGTACTTGAAACCAGCCTGTCTCCACGGCATCAGCCCAGACTCTGGCTGCAGGCCTGTCATCACCTGGAGGGGAGGCGCACCGAATGAGAAGGGCTCTGCCGAAACATGACCCACTGTCGGTTGTAGTGTTGCCCTCTCAGTGTGTGTCTGTGTGGACACGTGTGTTAACACTAGAGGCAGGTTAGAGCACACCAGATAGAAAGTAATGACCAGGTAGATTATGCACTGAGGTAGTAACCCTGTAAGCGCTTCTGATGAAAACTGCACTCCCAGACAAGTCCCAAGTTCAGAGGCATCTACTCTACTCACAAGAACAAGTTGGGTGGTAGTCCCGCACCCTGACAGATGCAGGCCACACGGAGCTAATAAACCAAGCACAACCAGTCACTGCACATGGTGATGCAAAAGGAAACTGGGCTAAGACAGTTACTTTCTAGGCGTTTCATCTACTTTCTACCCTTTGCTGAGAGGAGCCAGGCCTTGCCGTTACTTCTCCCATGAATATAGTGGAAAATAATAATAAACTCGGGGCAGTGACCAGGTCTATATTTTGACATGTTAAACTGGAAAATTCAGAACTGCCCATTCCCAAGTGTACAGTGTCACCCTGACAGGTTTTAAAAGTGACAGTGCTGAGGCATGCAATTAATAACACTGTTTAGTTTTCCTTCCTTTTTTTTTTTGTTGAGGATATACAACAAAACCAAGTTGCTCTGACATGTCTCCTGTTTTCTTCCTACGCAGACTCTAGGTTCTTGTGTTTAAAAAAAGCAATGTCCACGATGCGATGATTACTTCCTGGAGTCTTTTTACACAACAATTTCTTCCTGTTGAAAGATTCAAAAAACCGCTTTCAACTGGGAACTACACTAACACACACAGAAACCCCTCTACCGAGCAGTCAGCACAGAAATTAAGTACGTTAGACACAAACAGTTGGCAGAAAAGTGACGCTTTCCTAAAGAAACAGTGACACCAGATTACATACTTTTAGTCGGTAGCATAGACAAGATTATTTTCTTAGCCTTCAGGGAGAAGGACCCAATCCCAGAAATAAAAAATACAGAGGAAACACAAGTCTTACTACTTTCAGAATGCTGGGAAGACAGGTGCACATAATTTAAATTAGAACTGCAAATGGGCTTTGAGCCCTATAAATATTGTTTCCCAAGAAAGTAAGTTTTGAAAGTGCAAAAATCATAATGTACAAGGTCCCCTTCTCAGCTCAACAAGCAAACTGCACTCAAAGCCACAGCCATGACCTCATGAAAGAAACGCCTGCAGCAGGGGAAGATCAGAAATAATCACATACGTGCATCTTCCGACCCTGGATATTTCTGAGTGGCATGTGTTGCAAAAGGATATTCGACTAGGTTACTGGATCCAAGTTGCATTCCCTTTTAAAAGAATGTCAGAGGACAGCTGCCGATTTTTGTCTGTCAAAGACACGTCTCAAGGAAGAGGTAGTGTCTGCTGGGCTGGGGGCGATCAAATCACCTAACACAGCTTGAACCCAGTAAGGCCTCTGAAGCATGTTTCCTGAAATCTACTAAGCATTTTCTCTCTGTGCTCAAATGTCAAGCAATATCCAATAGCAGCTTCCGTTTCTTGTATTCGCTTCTGGAATCTGCATGCATCCCGTGCAAATTCTTCCCAGGGTCCTTTGCGATCTTCATCATCGCTTACATAATACTCGGTAACTTCTTCGAGAAAGGTAACCTATAAAGACAAAGATTCATTTAATAATAACGCTTGTAAATTAGCACAAGGTCAACAACCCTTCATGCTACGAATAATTTCAGGATATCACATAATTTGCAGAAATAGTTCGTCCCAACAATAAAAGCAGCAGAAAAAGAGTTCTGACTGAACTTTTGGGCAAATGGCATTTGAATTTCTTTCATTTGGACATACAGGTGGATTTGCATATACATTTGTGTTGTATATACATAAACATCTATCTCCCCGTGACTTTGGGTGTTAATAAAATTGAATCCAGATGGAGAACTGAAATTTTCGTTACGAATCCTAGCTTTTTTTTAAATCCTTAAGGAAATAGTTATAATAATCTGCCCTCAAAAACTACCAGTTCCGAAAAATATTTCAGTAAATCGCCACTACAACCCTGAGCATTAATGCTTTTAATTACAGCACAGAAGTTTAAAACTCAACATTTTCACTAAGTTCTTGTCCTCCCTTCTTTTAAAACAAACAAAACAGGCTTGACCCCCTGCACTGCATAACCGGACCTATCTTTTTCTATAACCAACCCCTCCCTTAATCTTCTAGAAATAAAGCTTGATCCAGGAGGCCTTTTAAAAAACTCATCCTTGAGTGCATTATAATGTTGGGATCATGAACAAGTATTTCTATTTGTGTACTATTAATTTTATAATCAGAAAATGAAGAGTTACTTGCTACACAAAGTGCAGTCAAATTCATTTAGAGCTTAAAGGCTGCATTGCTGAGAATTTATATATAATAGTCACACTCTGGATTTCTACTCAATATGCTATATTCAATCCAGGAAATTATGAATACTCTAATATACAGGGTATGTAATGAGTGGCTGGGCTGGCCTTTTCAATGTCAATTCAAGGTCTAAGACAGAAGTTCCTAAGATATCAAACTACAGAAGTGACTACTTGCTTTAAAGTATGTTCATAGTTACATCAGCCAATCCCACTGTGGCCTACTGCTTTCTTCCCTTTACATCAGGCCTAGGAATGCCCCTGAGGACAATTAGTAGGGATGTAACACCTTACTAAATATTGCATTCTGGTCATTACTCACTGTGCTACTAAGATCAATAATAATAACACAGTGTCTAATATATGCCAAAGTGCTTTACACTTTCTCTCCTACAGTATTGACTCCATGACAGTGAATGTTTGTTGGGGCTTTGGGGGCCTAACAACCCCATGTTGATTACCATCAACGTGATCATTACCATTATCACCCTCAGAGAAGAGATACGGCACAGAGGGACACAGAGAAGCTAGCTGTCTTGTCTTAGGTCATGATAAAGTGACCAGATTTTAACACTGGTAAAGCGGGACACCATTGATAAAACTCATATCCTGGCGAAATAGCCACATGGCAGCCGGAAACCGTATACCTTAGCTTGTCGTGCATTCTTTCCAAAAATCGGGACTTTTTAAAAACACCGCGGGACGCGGGAAAAATTGTTGAAACTCACGAGTGTCCCGCCAAAAGCAGACATCTGGTCACCTTAGTCATGGGGCTTCTAGGTGGTGTCCGCAGGACCCTAACCGAGTTTGGCTCCAAAACGTGCACTAGGTTACGTCCCGACAGTTTAGACAAGATCCGAAAGCTGCCTTCCAAGAAGCCGGCCCTGCCCAGTTTTCTCTTCCACCTAAAGAATGGCAAGTGGCCAGAGGAGGTCACAAAATTTCAACATTTTTCAGACACAAGTTTTGGTTTGGCTCAAGGCTTTGGCTTACTCATCCCATTGTCCTGAGTTCATGAGCAGGCGCAAAGGAGTCACAAGAGCCTCTCCTGCGGGCCTCAAGTAAAAACATGGCCACAGAAAGGCAAGGCCACGAATTTGGAGTCTGACTCCCTCCTCTCCTTCCAATCTGGCACTAACTCCTCCACCAGATCCCAGGGCTAGCGCTGTCAGGTCAATGGGTGCATTCAAGCCAGGAGAGGTCCCCTAACTTCTGTCTCTTGGCCTACCCACTCAGGTGTCGAGGACATGTGGGGCTCCAGATGCCAAGGGCTGCAGCCATTGCCCGACTTGGGTTCTTAGCTATCTGTACGTTTCCTCAGGGGCCCAGCGAAGGGTAGACAAAAGCTTTCACCACTGCCATTTACTTCACTGTGACCTAATATCAAGTTTTCATGACTTGCGGCTCTGATACAGGACTACCCCCATTGAGAAACAGTCTATACTCCAGAGCGGTTCCCAGAGCTGAACTGGCCACTTCAAATCAGGGCAGAGGCTAAGGGGAGTGCACTGTGCTTGGGGCAGAGCAGCTCACCCACTTCCTTCTCCTGGCACAGAAAGCTGTCAGAAACTTTCCCCTCCAGTCAGACAAACAGTAACCCTAGTCTCGTGCCTACTTACTTACTCATCTCACTGCTATGGGGATCCCCACTTCCCACCCCAATAGCTGCAGTGGAACTAACAGCACATAGAGAGAAAAAGCCAATTCAAAACATTCCCAAATAAGGTTAATCCAGTAATATGCTCCAAGAGGAAAATACCCTCGGAAGTTTTAAGACCAGTGTGGGAACAGAAAGCAACTGCCCATTATAAACCCAATCCGTGACCACTGGGCTCACATGATTTGCACTGTGCTGTGAGTGGGCTGATGAGAGAGAATGAGTATCACATCCATAAGGGACTGTCCTCCCCTCGGTTGTTGACTGTCAATCAGAACCAGGTCCAATAAAAGTGGGGTGAGGGTGGGGGTGTCCTATTTCTGTTGGGAGAGGTTTTCTACTCCTATCAAGAACTCCAGTCTCAGAAACACAGCGACAGTTCTACCCTGTCCTGTAGAGTCGCTATGGGTTAGAACAGACTGGATCTAGTAATAGTTCTGTTCCTTGGGGGCCCATAAAAAGCTGAGGCCTGTAAGGGAAACTCATGTCCTCCCCAATCATGCTGCCACCCTGAAGCCCACCGAGGTCAGAAGCGCAGCAGGCGTGTCAGAGAGACAACATGAAACAAACCTTTTTCCTTTTGCTATGCCTGTGGATCTCCCCACACAGAAGCTGGCAGTGCACCCAGTCTGGGCCGCCGCTTTCTTGCACCTTATAAGAAAGTGAGGTGTGACGCTCAGAAACGCTCACGAGGGGTTCAGGTGGGCTTTCCAAGTCACAGTGGCCTTGCCATTTTCCTGCGGTTTGAAACGGAGCCTTGAAATTCAAAAGGTTGTAGGGGTCCTGGGAGTTACAGAAAGAGTTCCACAGCCTCAGACTCTCCGCCTCGTCTGCACTTGACGCCCAGTCCTCGTCTTCGCCAGAGCTCTGGCAGGGCTCGGGAAGGCTGCTTCCAGCCTGGGGGAAAGAGTCCAGGTCAGCCTTGTCAGGCAGCTCCTTCTCTGACCCCGAAGCCTCTCCAGGGCCTGCTCTGGCAGCAGTCTGAATGAAGGCTGT